GCAGACAGGCACGCATGGCTGACGAGGCAAGGTGCAACAGTAGTCACGTATGAGCAGAGAGAGAGAGAGAGTGTGTGTGTGTGTGTTTTGTGTGCGTGTGTGTTGTGTGTGTGCGTGTGTGTGGAATCACCTGTAGGAACGGGTTGCCGGAACAGTTTGCCCGGATGATGTTCATGCGATTGGCTGCTCCGCACATCTCGGTGGACGCCCCCGTGCATGGCTCGTTGCAGTCGGAGGAAGGCTGCACAAAAGTGTGTGTTGGGTGGGGGAGGGTGAATGCTGGTCGCGTACATGAGTGTGTGCACCACACACACACACACTTACACACACACATACACACACACACACACACACAGAGAGAGAGAGAGAGACACACACACACACACACACACACACACACACACACACACACACACACCGCCGAGACTGCGCGAGGGCATTCAGCTTGGGTGTTCGCAGAAGAAGCATTGGTAGCTGTACTCAACGGCACTTGAGTGAAGGTGTAGCAGAAGCGTGGCACACGCCTCACGCGTCATGGACGCCTGCGCCATGTTGCCAGCAAACGCAAACGTCTTGATTGTCAGCGCGGCGTGTGCAAGTGTGCGAGTGTGGGGGGGGGGAAGAGGTGTTGGTCAGTGAGAGCAGCGATGGGACGAGGGAATAAGCACGCAACTCGTTTCACAAACACACACTCACACCTTGATCTTGGAGGTTGGTGCATCGGACTTGAGCTTGGACGACGCTCACAGCCACGGCCACCAACCACAGCAGTGCTGTCACGCATCTTCCTTCTTGTCTTCTTCCCCACAAAACACAAACACAAACACAATTGTGCCGAGTCAGCACTTTCTGCTTTGTTGATGAAAGGGGTTCACTGCTGTGTGATGGAAGGCACACGCACACGCACGCACAGGCAGACGCACAGACGTGCACATGCACACACACGCAGGGGCGAACGGCTTGACAAGGAGCAGTGCTCTGCGTGGAGGAACGAAAGGGAAGGGGGTAACAACTGCTGTGCTGCTTGCGACCGGGACAAAAGCACGACAAGTGCATGGCAAGCAAGCCAGCCAGCAGGCAGTGAACAACCACAAGCAGGTCTCCTTCTTGGGCCCGTTTGCATACATGCGTGACACAAGCCACAAAACACAGTCGGTCAGCCCACCGTCCGGCAACAGCATCCAAGATGCACTCGGCAGGGCACTGGCAACTGCGATTGGGGTTTGGTGGCGTCGTCATCAACAACGGCCTCATCCACGGCATCCCTCCCTTTGATACAACTCCCGCCACCTCTGTGCCCATCATCAGCCCATCAACAACAGCAACAGCAGTGACAATAGCAACAGCAGTGACAGCAGCAGTGGTTGACACGACCACCATTAACAGTCTGCAAACCGATTGAGCCAAGTGGCACTGCAGACGGTGTGCGTGCTGGCTCACAACAACCCTCCTCTATGGTGTGACCACTGATCGCAGCACGAACCA